AGCGCATGACGCTTGGAATCCGCGTCCTGCTTGAACTCTCCTGCTCATTCGAAGGCCAATTCCCCTGAGAAGAATTGGCGAGAAACTCTAGGGGTTGCTCTACCCGAAGGAGCTAAACGGGTCAGCAACGGATTTTTGTCATCCAAGCGCAGATATTATACAATAACCTTTAGTATAAAGTTTTTGTTTCACAATAGTTTTAAGCCTCGTACGTGGCATATTTTGAATAGAAAACGCAATCTTATTATAGAAGCGTATTCATGGCCCTTTAAATGAATTTGAGACTTTATGAAGACGATTGCAATGAACGGCTAGTTTATTTTAATTCCTCGTATGAATGTTATGTTTGTCACTATTTTTCATTTAACACAAATAACATGTTCATAAATGTACCGTGACGTTAGTGTTACAATGTTAATCTCTTTAAACTTATCTCTTATAGACGCTCTGGGGCCCAGATTGTAAATTGCTCTAACCGCGCGTTTCTGCAGGACAAAGATTCTATTAATATTAATGTTTTCTAAATTGGTTCATTCGTATGAAAAAGTGTATTAACGCCAACGGAGAATATTTTGAGAAACAATAAATTCAATTCTGACCATTTATAGTATTTTTTCTTATTAATTCCGGAAACTTATAGTACGCCCCACATAATACTCCAAAGCAAAATGTCATCGTCGTGGAGATCGTTGGGGGAGGCCTATGCCCAGCAGTGGGCGTCGTATGGCTGAAATTATGAAAATGTCATTAAACTGTGAAAGCTTCTGAAGTGAAGCAACCTAGCTGTTTCGACGTCTGAAAGTTTTCGCATTTTTTTATCGCGGACGATGCAGAGCTGAGCTGTTTTGATAATTTATTTATATGTCGACCCCATGGCAATTTAGCATCTAAAGTTATACTTAAAAATACAACTGTATCTACAAGGTTCAATTTTTCGTTTCTAACTATAATGTTTGTGTTCGTCTGTCTAACATTGGGTAATGTAAATTTTACACAATTTGTTTTTTCTCATTAAGGAGCAGGTTATTAATTGCAAACCAATTTACTACTTTAGATATAGCATTGTTCACATCGTCATAGGAACATAGGTGCCTTTTAACTTTAAATAATAAGGAAATATCATCAGCAAACAATACTATTTCACGTTCTATACCTTCCACGAGGCTAGATAAGTCATTAATATAAACCAAAAACAAACATGGATCTAAAATTGAACCTTTAGGGATGCCCATATTAATGGTAGACCCTGATCATCTCGTACCGTTGGCATCGACTCTCTGTATCCTCCCACTCAAATATGATTTAAGAAGGTCGAGGTCATGGTCCGCCACATCATAATGGCGAAGTTTCCTGACTAAAGTATCATGATGCACACAATCAAAAGCCTTTGAAAGGTCATAGAATACACCAATAGCATCATGTGAGTCTTCCAATGCATCAAATATATGTTTTATCAACTCCACACCTGCGTCGGTTGTGAGTGGCCCCGAATGAAACCAAATTGTTTAAGAGACATTAAATTAGTAATGTTATATATAGGCCCTTTCATAGTCAAGCTCAATATAGCCTTTGTCTACTTTTATGAACGACCGTGGGCATCACTAAATTTCAATGAATTATTATGCTTGTGATTTTAGACTTAAAAACATTACCACGTTCAGTTTACACTACGTTAAAAACTGAATTATACAATTCATTCGGATCGTCACAGTACGGAATGTCGGGTAGTTTAATTATTACATTGTTTCTATAAGTTTTCCCCTTATTTATTAGAACACACGTGATGTTCTTTTTTGGCTTTTTATCAATTATTATATTAAAAGTGGCCAATTGATCCTGACGTTAATTTATATGATAGACTTAGTACTAGATACGGCGTTCGCAAATATGTTATCTAAACAAGTTGCTATAGAAGTTATTCGAGTTGGCGCCAAAAAAAGATTCACAAGATTATAACACTGAAAGTCATATTACAAAATTGAAGTTTACGTGTTAGATAAAGATGTATGGAAAGACGACACGGCTCCAGAATCCACACAAATTTGATTCAAAGTGTATTCCATAGCATCTAAGTTTATTTGAAAAGAGCAATCCCTAGAGTTTCTTGCTCGTTCTTCTCAGGGAAGTCAGCGTAGTGAACGAGCAGTAGCTTAATGTACTGTAATGTAAATGTGGCGTTTTCAAGTGTAAATTTATTTTACCCATGGGATAAATGATCTTTGACTTTGACTTTGAAAAAAATATGCGAGCCTACTACTTACTACTAGACTACAGTCTTCTAATAAATTGACATCGAAATCACCACAAACAGCAATATATTTATTTTAGTTATTTAATTCGCCTAGTCCTTCTTCGAGCAATTCAAGTGCTCGCTTAATATAGCAAGCCGTGCAAGTGCGCGGAACCCTCTGCTGGAGCCCTACCTGATGGAGTCCATGGCGGGCGGCGGCGGCGCGTCGGCCAGCGCGCTCGGCGGCTCCGGGCTCACGCGCAGCCACTCGGGCTCCGCGCCGTACTGCAGCTGAAACGAGGCTCGTCTCTTCGCCGCGCCGCTGCGACGCGGCCTCGGACTGTCTCACTTCGCTTGTTTACTCAGAAAGGACTGCCTTTATTGCATAGTTATTTCGAAATCTGACCACTCAACTATTGGGCCAGCGAGATCAAAAATACACCAGGGCGCCACGATTAGAAAAGACCTCGGCGCGTACACGGAAAAGACGTATGTCCCGTTTGTGAGACGTCAAATTTTGAGAAACCCTCTCAAACATGCAGGTTTCATTAAGGCGTCTCCCTTGTTATTCTTAATTACCTTTAAACCGACAATTGTGAAACGTTTACGGCAAAAGCATTACAATGAACCGAACGTGAGCGCGCCGAGGTCTAAGCACGTGTATGTCGGGTGCAAACCCGAAGACTAATTTGAGAAGTACGAAAGGCCGGCGTAATCAGGTCCCACCGTCCACCGTCCACCGTCGCTTGGCATTACAAGAAAGAGCAGCTTACGAAGAGCGGGAGCGGCCGGCCGTGCGGCGCCGACACGCTGCAGCGCGGCGCCGCCTCCCACACGCGCGCCCACAGCTTCTGCGCGTTCAGCGCCGCGCACTCCTCTGCAAGCGACCAGCGGCCTCAACACTCCTCCGATAAAAAGCAACTAGTGCAAAGTGCCGCTTCTTTTTCGATTTCGATTTTATAGTCAACAACAAATGAGATGGTCCCTTCATATTTACGTTTTATTCACATGACTACGAATTTCGTAATAAAGATTATCAGTACAGTTCTTTTGTAAAAGCCCCACCCAAAAGTAGGTTTAACTCACCCCGATTACTGTGAACTTATTTTGCACGGAATTTTTTACACCCACAAGCTGACAACGACCACCAACTCCGTAACGTCAAACCTTTTAAAAAGTGATGTCACATTGAGCACTTTCAAGAGGGGCAGCGAGAACATATTTAAAAGAGTCTATCTTTAAAAGTCGCTGTACCCGAGACCTCCGAGTAATGACCCCAGCACTTCTCTCTTTCCGGGCCAACAACGTCTAATAACTAATTATACATTGGGTTTAACTTCTTTACGAAGTGTAATCAAAAACGAATAAAATATAAGAATAGAAAATAGCTATTATAAATGGGCGGTATTTAAAATAACAATTCTTTAATAATTCATAATATATCCTTGTCATAAATAACGCATTGCAATTTTGGTAACTTTCAAGATGTTGGAGGGTTTAAAATTAAGATTTCGGAAAGTTTAAATTTGCTTTTATAGGTTATGTAAGGAAAACCAATAGTATGATTCAACAACAAACAAATCGATTCGTTCAATGAATTTAAACCGTCTATGGTCGGGTCAGTGACTTGTTGTTTACGTTTGTTTCAAATGGACTGAAATGGAGATTTGAGCGAGTGAATACAACGATCTGTCCTGCGGCGCAGAAGCAAGGGACCAACCGAGCAAGTCCGCCTTGGGCGGGCCCGCCTGCAGCCGCGCCAGCATGCGGCTGAGGTTGTGGTCGAGGCAGGCGGCGCTGCCGCGCGCCACCACCACCAGCTTGCGCAGCAGGGCGATGGCTGCCGGGTCCGAGTGCAGCTCGTAGCTGGAAGTCGATTGCATTTTTTATCAATAATATTAGTAGTTTATAATTATGACTGTTACATAATGAAAGGCATTAAAATACGAGCGCAGGTTCATGAAACTCGCCTGTCGGCTCGTTTCATAAAGACATCTCATGAGTGTTTTAATGCTTAATTATATACAGCAATAATAACATTTTCACAGATAAGAAATTTGCTCTAAGAAATTTGCTCTAACAAATGAGTTTAGCCTTTATGCTAGTCGTAATTTGCGGTTTTTGAACAAGTTATAGAGAGTTTATGATATGTGTGTGTAGATAAAATAATTTATTTCAGACTTGTTTTGTCCATATGGTTAGTATACTGGTGATCTTATGACTGGTGTTAGTATTACATGAATGCGTGCACTCGCGACCAGTAGTGCGATTCACGTAAATTCAAACTATCAAAATATCGTTGAAGTTGCGTAGTCGTTCGATCGAAGTCCTATCCAAAATGAAAAGAAAGAAAACATTATTGGGTGAAATTGCAACCATAATATACGCAAAATAGCTTGAATTACTCATATTTATAGTGTTTTTTGTTTAAATGGGACAAACGGTACGGGGAAAACCGAAACCATAGAAGATACGAGGAAATTCTTTAGGAACCAGTAAATCTTTATTGTGAGAAAGTTTTGGCAAATTCAATTTTTAGTTAAAGCGCGAGTTTTATTAAAAATAAATAAAAATTTTTACAACCTTAGAATGAAATCATACTTATAAGAAACTAATTTTATCAGCATTACAAAAAAATAGTCAATTTTATTTATTTTTAATGACTGCTCACGCATGACCAAAAAATTGACTATGCCAAAATTGTTTTCACAAAAAAGACTTAATAGTTCCTAAGGCAGTTTTCTTATATCTTCTATGATGTATGATTTTCCGATACTGTTCCTTTAAAGAAAAATACTGTATATAATAAATACAAAGAGATAACAATGTTTCATAACAATTATACGAAAATTTGTGTATCAATTTCTTAGTTTAATAAAAAAAATAATTCTTTATTTGATTTGGCTACACACCGTTAGGTTGTAGGGCTAATCTATTGGATAAATTCATTGGAACGACTTTTGAGGTCTCACCGTTAGAGTTAATAGGGTAGTTTATATTTTTATCTTAACTTTACCATAATTTTATGCACAGCAGGCGGTTGGTATTTGCTGCATACAACACCCCTACATTGTCAAACAAGCACTACCACCACATTAATACCTAACCGCACGCTGTTCATTTTTTGATCCTACGAGTTTTACTTTGAACCTGCCGTTGTACACTTTGGTACTTCGAGCTTTAAGTCATTAGCATTTAAATTCGCGGTACTCTTTTCCTCTTAGCTAGGAACGACATTGACTGACAAACACTTTGACGTACAGTGGACTAGCGTAATCAACAAGCGCTAGTTTTATTGCACATTAAATTACCATAGCGCTTAACTGACACCGAGCGGTAGCGATTCGGGCGCCGGCCTCACCGGTAGCTTGAGAAGTCGCATTGTACCATTTCGAGGAAATAGAATACAGTTAAGCGTTGACCTATACATAGAACAAGGTAATAGGCTAGGTAATATTAAGGATAGTAAAAATATTATAAATATATTAAATGTAGGATTGTGAACGGAGTGAAAGATTTGTTTCTGAACGATGAAGTGTGAGAGGGAAGGATGGAGGTGACGGATGACAGATGACTTCTCTTTGGCTATGGCTCTCGATACTGGTGGTTGCGTACGAGTGGTTTTCCTAATTTTTAAAAATAAAAGTGAGCAAATTAATTTCTACGTTTTATTTCCATCCCACATTAAATATAATAGGGAAAGCAAGAAAGAAGAAATCGCAGCAAACCTATAACTATACAAGATGGAGATAGAACGGATCAACGAACTAATCAAAAGTCAGAAGAGCGACTACCATACGAAGAAGAAATACGAAGATTACTAAACAACATGAAAAAGGATTCAACACAAAGGAAGAACCTTCGCTATATTGAAGAAAGGAGAACCAAATTACAAGAAATCCATGAGAATTCTCGCCAACCACCAACACCTAGAGGTGCAGGAGATCTTATCCACCCACAAATATATCACCAGCAACTATTTTGGAGTAATTGAACTACTTAAACGAATGAGAGAAACGGCCACAACTAATCAACGAATTATACCAACCAGAAGACATAGAAACGGAAGATTTTGAAGGGACTGATTCAAAACATTCTACAAAATTATTTATAGAACTATTTCGCATTAATCAAATGCAGAAAAAATTACACCGACCATCTCAAACCATTCAAGATAATAAACCAGCTTGGTACCTACAATCACTATTCACAACCCTACAAAAACAACGGCGTGATATTGGAGAAACCCATCTACAAATATTAATGGAAGGGAGCAACTTACAACTTAAATATTCCACAGAAGACATGTTCGTAACAACCCAAACTGAACACGAACTTGTAACCGAAATGTTATCACTAGAATGAACGAGAACAAAACTACAGAAAGTGCAAACAACAAACCATCAATCAAACTACCTAAAATTATTATACCAATATTCACTGGCAGCTATGAGTCATGGAATAATTTTTATGACTTATTCACCAAAGTCGTACACGATGATCGTTCGTTAACTGCAACAGAAAAGATGCAATATTTAAAAACACATATTCGAGGCGACGACGAAAACTGATTAAGCACTTATCTGTTTGCGAAGCTAATTATGAAACAGCGTGGAATTTGCTGACAAAGCGTGATATATCAAATGTGCGAATATCGACAAAATGTTAGACATGCAACCAATAGAAAAAGGCACCGCAACGAACCTAAGATGTTTACATGACGCAATTAATGAGAATTTAGAAGCAATAAAATGTCAAAACATCGACATTACAACCTGGGATCCAATTCTGACACGGATTCTAAGTAAAGTTTGGGACACTGAAACCAATGAGAAATTCAAACAACAATTAGAAGAACCCAATAAAATGCAAGAATTCTCAAAAATGATGTCATTCCTGGAACAAAGATTCAAATGTTTAGAAACAACAAATTCGTCAAAATAATATGTAAACAATACAGTAAGGCGTGACATAACAACTGCATTCGCGCGCCCGAAAGGAAATATGATACCATGTTTACATTGCCGGAGCATTGAACATAATATCTACCAATGCACTGCTTTCAAAGTGATGCCAGTACAAGAGCGGCACAAAACAGTCAATGAAAAGCGAATATGTAGAAAAGCCGGCCATCACTCCTATTTTCTTACAAATTACCAAAATACGCCGTCTTTTATGCAACAAAACCCAAAATATGAGAGTAACGAAAAACCAAGCAGAAGTAAAAACCACCAACTAACAACGCCAGGAGCGTCACCAAGTACCAAACCAACTAAGAAGATAACGTCCAACATGTCCATAACTATTGACCAAAATACAAGAAAAACTACATTACTTGCTACAGCCTTAGTAAAAGCAAAGGCTATTGATGGCTCAACGCATTTACTACGGGTATTATGCGATCAAGGGTCAGAAGCCTCACGGAAGAGGTAGCGCAATTACTGGCGCACCCTCGTAGCAAAATACAAACAGAAGTGATCGGTATAGCAGATGAGAAACCCAGAACCTCGAAATATGCGATCAATATACAACTACATCCAAGATTTCCAAGCGAATATAAGCTACCAGTTATTCTTATTATTCTACCTAAACTAACTAGTTCGTTATCCAAAACAAACCTACCTTCAATACAAGAGCACAGTTTAGAAAATAAACTGATAACAGACCAACCTACAACAAAAAGGGACCCATAGATATAATATTGGGAGCCCAGGAATATAGCAAATTACTACTTAATGGATTACACAAAATTCAAGGCGGAATAATCGCTCAAAATACCGAATTGGGATGGATTCTATCTGGAGTTTGTGGTAACACCAGTAAAATGAAAGTCCTCAATATGACAACATGAACTGAGGACATACAAAAAATAAACAAGATTTGGGAATTAGAGAAGGTCCCACAAACCCATCAATTATCTAAAAATGACCTACTATGCGATAATTACTACAAAGAAACTACAGTAAGGAACGAGTACGGAACATACACAGTACGATTGCCATTCAACGATCCTAATGTGGAATATGGACAAATCGCTGCAGCAAGACTGATGAACACTCGACAAATAGCTGCAGCAAGATGCAGTAAGAACGAAGGTTTGCAATAGATACTAACTTACAACAAAAATACCATTTTTAGGTGAGTATCTAGAAATGGGTCATATGAGGAAAGTACATAAATCCGACTCTAACCAATGCAAACACTACATTCCTCATCAACCAGTAATAAGAGTCACTAACTACAAAACTGAGAACAGTGTTCGACGCATCAACCAATTCTAGTACGAATATAAGCCTAAACCTAAATAAGCCTCACAAGATCTAGCAATAATACTACTACGATGGCGAATACATAAAATTGCATTTATGGCAGACATAGAGAGAATGTACCGCTTCATCAAAGTCAATGACGTACGGCACAGCATCAGCTCCATATTTAACAACCAGGACTTTACAACAACTTGCCATAGATGAGAAAAACAACTTCCCAAGAGCCAGTCAAGTCGCTCTGCAAGATTTTTATGTAGATGACATATTATCTGGGGCACATGACGTAAATTCAGCGAAGCAACTACAAACAGACCTAATAAATATGCCACGTGCAGGTTTTAATTTGAGGAAATGGTCGTCAAACAACACTGAATTGTTAGACCGCATCCCGGATCAATCAGATATTGACGACAAAACAATGAAGTTGCCATTAGAAGAAAGTAGAAAATCACTGGGAGTGTTATGGTCACCAATAGAAGACAGTTTTTGTTATAAAGTAACAATAAATAACAATGAAAACCCAACAAAACTATTTATACTATCAGAAATAGCCAAATTATTCGATCCATTGGGATGGTTAGCACCTGTGATCGGAACAATGAAACTAATCATGCAAGAACTATGGACGAATGGTTCAGAATGGGATCAGCCTGTAGATTTTTATTTGCAAGCAAAATCGAAAGTAGCACCAAACAAACAAAAAACTACTCTACCGAAGTTGGAATTATGTGCAGCATTATTAGTAAATCAGTTGATGGAAAAAGTCATCAAAGCTATGAATTTCAATGAAGAGGAAGTATATATAAATAAATAAATAAATAAATATTGTTGGACAGATTCAATGATCACGCTCGGTTGGATTAAAGGAGAAGCCGATAGATGGAAGACCTTTGTAGCCAACAGAGTATCAGAAATACAAAAACTACTACCACAAGCAAACTGGAACCACGTGATAACTAGTCAAAACCCGGCTAACATAATCTCCCGAGGAACCGAACCAAGAAAATTACAAGAACTACCTTTATGGTGGAATGGTCCTAGGTGGTTGAATAATGAGAACATGTAGGTATGTTACATGTGTACAAAGACAGTACCAGAAATTTGTGAGGAAATAAAAAGAAGCCACAATACAGCAATAACGACAAACGAAAACCAAATATGGGATAGATTTTCAAGCTATCAAAAGATGATCAGAGTAATATCGTACTGTTACAGATTTCTAAGGACTATAGTAACAAATCATTAACATGCGAGAAAATCGAGCATATTAGTAAATAAGTATTATTATTAGTACAACAAGAAGTATTCCAAGAAGAATATAATGCCTTGAAAAAAGGAAAAATGCTGAAAAAAGGAAGTAAACTGACAAACCTCAATCCTTTCATAGATACCGATGGATTATTACAAGTAGGGGACAGATTGCAAAACTCTAACCTACCATACAATCAGAAGCACCCAGTATTATTACCACAAAGCCATCACGTGACGTAACTAATCATACGCGACGCTCACTTCAAAACATTACATGGAGGCAATGGTTTGACTTTGGCGTATATACGGCAAAAGTATTGGATACTTGGAGGAAAAAGAAAAGTTAAAATTAAGTTATTACCAAATGCGTAAAATGTACAAGTTACAAATTGAAAACAGCAACTCAAAAAATGGGTGAATTTCCGTATTCATTTAGTCACACTGGAGTAGATTACGCAGGTCCTATTCAAGTCAGGGCTATGAAAGGTCGCGGACACAAATCCTACAAGGGATATATAACAGTCTTTGTTTGCCTACGCACAAAGGCAATACATCGTTCATCGCTGCACTACGACGATTTACAGCACGAAGAGGCCCAGTGTCACACATCTACAGTGATAATGGAACTGAAAATGTTTATAGTCAAAATATTTTAAAAATGTTCTGTAATGGGGTGGACATGCATTTTTCTGGACGGTTTTATAACGTTTTGTTCAACTGGAGACATTAAACCGTAATAGAAATTGCGTCATTCCGGGGGTCAGTAGAACGAAGGAAACATTACCTTTATGAAGTCGAAGTTCGAAGCGCTTACATA